GATATCAAAAAAGTACTCCAGAGTGTTGTTCAGCATGGGGGTGAGTAGAAAATGAAGGCTAATCATGTTTTGGGTGTACTATTCCTTTAAGGCACGGGTCTGAGTCTCCTCTGTCCTTCTGTTATCTATGCAACTCCTTCCTGAATAAAGTTCCTCAGATTTCCTTGAACCTGAACAGGAGGATTAACTGGCCGCATGACTTCCTGTGGTACGCTGGTCTCTGTGACTCACCACAGCTGTGCTCGTCCGCCCCATCAGGACAGTCGCGGATGCCATTGCAGTGAGCCTTAGCTGGAAGGCAGGTGCCGTTGGAGCACAGGAAACCTTTACACTGGGTTCCCTCTGAAACAACAGAATTTACATTTATGGCTGCTTTTATTTACCCTGCTCTATGTGAAAACAAGGAAAAAAGGCTGCTGCTGTTTTTACCCATTATTTAACACTGATTGAGTGATTCTCTGAACAGCTTCTGTTTCCCTCAGCAGGAAGAAAGCTTCAACTCACCGCAGTACTGAGGATCCTCATCTGAGTTGTCCTGACAGTCATCATCTCCGTCACATTTCCAGCGCAGTGGAATACAGTGGCCTGTGTGACACTGGAAGCTGCTCGGTTCACACGTATGGTGGCCCACTTAGGACAAACGACATAGAAGAAAATGCTGGTTGAACAGCTTCTACACAGATGAAAACCTAAACCTGCAACAGTCAACAGACACTAAATGGATCGTTTGTTAATGTGGACTGAACAGCTGATGGGTTTTTTTAAATTAAACTTCACAAATGTTCTGGAAGCTTTACGTTAATTAACTGTATAGTTTATGAAGAACCAACCTGTGCAATTGGCTTCATCGGACCAGTCTCTGCAGTCGTTGTCTCCATCGCAGCGCCAAGCATCACGGATGCAAACCCCTCGTGCGCACGTGAACTCTCCCGGGCCACACTGGTGAGACTCTGAGGAGGCGATGAAAACTGGAGTTGGTGCAGAAATCAGGAAGGAGTTCCTCTGGTTTCTCTGTTTTTCATCAGTTGCATTAATTCCTACGGCTGCATTGTTCAGAACCAATCAGAACCCAGAGCAGCTAGCGTTAGCTAAACTAATGCTACGTTCACACCAGTGTTGTAGTACTCGAAATCGGTCTTGGTCTCAAGACCATTTTTTGATGGTCTCGTCTCGTCTCGGACTTGACCACATTTGGTCTCGGCCTCGTCTCGGTCTCGGGCGCTGAGGACTCAGCATTTTATTTTAAGACCGGTCCAGACCACAACTGTGGAAATAACGCTAATCATCGGAATATTATCAGTTTCTTTAAGATCCTTCTTTTTATTGGATGCTTGGATTCAAATCCAAGCAATAACCTCATAGTCTCATTGGTAAATGCAGTGAAGGAGATCAATCTATTTTTTCACCAAATTATCTGTCTCATAACATATTTCACAACTTGGTGACAGATATAGATTTATTTTAAAAAAGTTGAGAGAAACAAGAGAAATGATTGGCATTTTTTTCAGTTTTACACATTTTACAGAATTTTGCACATTGTTTTGAAATAGCACATTTAAAAACAACATAAATGTTTGTACTGTTCATGAACGGCAGAGAAAATACTATTTTGATCAACTTTGATTGTTTGAAATTCTGTGATTACTACACAGAAGTACTAAATAAAGATGTTTGTTTAGTCCAGTTCTGTGTGTGAAATATCTAGGTGTTTTTATGTGAATGAGGGCTTTGCTGCTCTGGCTGCGCGGTGGTAAAGTGTGTCTGACGCGCGTTGGGCGGAGCTACTCTATCCTTTCTTTGCCTTGCAGCTATATTTGCTGTGATCAGTGGGAATAAAGTAGTTTTAACATGTTTTAAAGTGAGAAAATCCACGTGAAAACTTAATTATGCAGTCAGTTCATCCAGATTACCATCCTGCTTTCCAATATTATTTCTGTCAGAGCTGCTCAGACCCCCCCATACCGGCGGTGCGCTGTCAGTAGGAATCCCGTTCAACAGCAGCCTCTAGCTGGGTCGCCTCCTCGCGGTTCACCGCGGCGGCTGGAAGCGGTTTTCATGTCCATTATCCAAACTGCAGGCAGCAGGATAATTAAAGCGAACATGTTTTGTCGGCAGGTTTCTACATTTTCAGTTAATTTAGGCGTTAATAAACTGTTTCAGAGGAGTGATCACAGCGCTCTGTGTCATCAGCGATGTGTCTGACTCCCTGCCAGCTCCCAGATCAGCGTCTCTGATTGGTTGATGCTTCGCGTCGAGCAGCAAAAGTTTAAATTTTCAATCTCGAAAAGCAGCGCGTTTGCGGCGCAGCGCGCGCGTCAGATGCTCAGATGCGCTGCGGTACATTTTGCTGCGCCTCGACGCGCGTCAACCATTGACTTTGCATGTAATCTCGCTGCTCCTGCTGCGTCCGTTGTGAACGCAGCATAAGAGCAGCTAGCGTTAGCGGCTGTCTGGAAGGTGTCGGGTGCGAGGACTTTAGGGAGAAACCTGACGCCATACTACATCATGGATTTTCTCAGGAGCTTTCATCCCTGATTCCCATCAGGTCCTGAGTTGCCGAGGATAACAAAAGAGTTGGGAAAATGAATGCCAACAGTTAACAGCTCCGGCTCGGAGCAGCAGGGCTCACCGCAGTGCTCCTCGTCACTGTTGTCTCCACAGTCGTCTTCGTGGTCACATTTGAAGGCCAGCGGGATGCAGGAGCCCGAGGCCACGCAGCGGAACTGGTTGGACGGGTCACAGGTGGTCGTCGCTGCAAACAGACACACAAACGTTGCCCTCATTTCTTTTCACCATCAGGTGGGGTTTGTCCGGTGGATACTCACGACACTCCTGCTCGTCGCTCATGTCTCCACAGTCGTTGTCGCTGTCGCACTTCCAGATGCTGTTGATGCAGCGGCCGTTGGAGCAGCGGTACTGATTGGGCAAGCAGCTGTGCTCTGATGAGACGAAAAGAAGGAAATGACACCTGATTACCCTGAAGACAGACCACAGCGAGCATCAGAGGAACGCCGGAGGTCAAGCCGCCTCTTAGCCTCACCGATCTTGATGCAGGTGTTGTTTTGGAGCCGGTAACCAGAGGGACACAGGCACTGCAGCTCCCCGCTGGGCGTGGTGACGGTGGGAGCGCCGTCCGGACAAACGCAGGTGTGTCTGTGGCTGGGCTGTGGCAGACACAGCAAGCTGCACGGCTGGTCGGCGCAGGCGTTATGTCCTGATCAGGACGACAGGACAACCAGAGAGGATTAGAATCATGCAAGGGATGTCACTGTTAGTGGAGACGGATGCTCCTTACCTCGGTTCTTCCCTTTATAGAAGATCTTCAGATCCATAACTCCAGTCAGTCGGCCAACAATCAGCTCATTGTTCTGAGATCCAGCCTTTGGAGCTTTGAAGATTCCCATCCTTGACCAGTCATCCCAGTACAGGTCGTTCTGAAAACACCAGAATAACAGGAATGAGGGAGGAGGAGGAACTGTTCGGTGAATACAGGAGGAATGGGGGATCAGGGCTCTGACTGGGTGGAAGAATGGAAAAGCCTGAAACCATCAAATCAGGGCAGAGAGAAACAGGGTTGAGTTTCCTCTGGAAGAAACTGGAAGAAAGTCCTGTTAATAGATGATATTTTGGAGCGCTGGAATAGATCCATTGAAAAACAAAATCACTATATCAACCAGGAGACATAAGGAGAAATCCACCCATCAGGGAATTCCATATATAACACAGAAGTGATCATTTACTAAACATCATTTACTAAACATTACAAAACAGGGAGATCTTACAACCCTGGCAGTGAAGGATGGGTGGAATTTCTAGCTATAACTTTGAGAATTATGTAGATAATTTCTTGTACAGTAAGGGCGCAGGACGATTAATTTTAAAATCATGTTCATTTAAAGTATTATAGACTGGTTTATATGTTCTAATAACTAATAACTGGTTGTAGTATCGTTTACCCGCCGTCTTGTTTTCTACCAGGGCTGCTGCGGTCATTATTAGCCGTCATCCTCAGAGTCTGACTGTAGACCAGAGGTCTGACCT